GGATTGGGGCCAGCCCCCCAGACCTCTCCATTGGTTCCCTACTCCATGCCGGTATGTTGCGTTCACATCTTGGAGCACCGGGTTGAACTTCAATCTCTTTTCTGTTTATCATTGATGTTACCTATTGGTCCATTTGTAAGGATTTTGGTCTTCTTGTCATTGAGTTGTAATCCATACTGAAGGCTACAATCCTGATCTTCATCAGCAAGTGCTTCAAGTCCTCCTCACTTTTTGTAACCAAGGATTGTCATCTGAATATTGCAGGTTGTTAATAAGCCGTCCTCCAGCCCTGATGCTGCATGTCACTGCATAGAATCTAGTTTTTCTGATTCAGTATATATATTGAGTAGGTGTGGTAAGAGGATATAATCCTGGTGAATGCTTTCCCTGACCAAGTGACCTTTTTCTGCATGGGGCTGGGTAAGAATGTAGGGAAAGATATTAGTAGGATTCACCTGTGAGTAATTGTCAACAGGTTTCTGTAGAATCTTATTAGAAATCAGGATGGCAAGACTTTGTATAAAGTACTTTGGATATGTTCTCAGGAAAGACCTGTCCCTGGAAAAGGCCATCATGCTTGGTAAAGTAGAAGGTCAGACCAAACGAGTAAGATCGTCAAGGAAATGGATTGACACAATGGCTCCAACAAATGGGCTCAAACATGCCAATTGTGAGGATGGCACAGGCCTGGGCAGTATTTCATTCTGTTGTCCACAGGATGACTGTGAGTTGGAACTAACTTCATGAGAGAGAAAAAAAATGAAATAAACAAGCAGTATTCTGATCATTTCCTCTTCCATACTTGTAATTCCATTTCTCAACAGTAAGAACATGGTTCTCATATTTTGCAGCAAGTTTGATGGAGGCAGAGCAAGCATAAGCACTTATTCCATTTCTTCAGTTTCATTTCAGTATTTACCCTTATATATGCTGATGTCTTCTAATGACTTTAGGACTAAGTTTTTCAGAAAAGGGAACAACTGCAGTTCATTTTAAATAAAAGTTTTGGGTTTTGTATGTCTTAAAATGGTTATTGAAAAAAATGGTTATTGAAATCAAAATTACATAAGATACTAGACCTTTTATATTACTGCCCAGTAATAGAGGTACTAGTGTTCTGTCATTTTGGATCAGGTGTTCCCTACTCCTCAAGGTAACATCCTTGCTTTACTACACTTTTGAGAGGTCTTGTGCAGCACTTTAACCTGATCCAATGGGCTAGAAATGCTAGAATATGAAAATATTTTAAAGACACGAAATGTCTCCTAATTTAAGAACTATCAGTCAATTAAAGTAGAGGATTTTTCATGAAAGCATCATGTATGTCCCATCGGGAGTCCTGGTCACACTGTTGGGTAAGTGCTAGACTGCTGACCACAAGTTTGCTGTGCAGGAGAAATTAGAGGCTGTTTACGCCATTAAAGATGTAGTAAATTTTATTTAAGATGGC